CCCCCCCCCCCCCAGATTTTAAGAACACATTGTACTGGGAGAATATTTCAGAATAGAATGCTTGCCAATAGTCTTCCTATTTTCTCCCCTCTGCACACATGGAGACCATGTGTCTGATGGAATCTATACATTTATCACTACACTGTTTTCTTTTAATACTAACGTGCTAAACAAAATACTCAGAATGAAATACGAATATGCTAAATGAAATCAATAACATATGTACACAGTGCATGGTTATGTCTGTCAATTGACAAAAGTTACAAACTGAAACTCCCTTCCTGACTGAAGCATCGTTTCAAAACTACAGCTGCAATGCTGTGTGCACTTACCCTGGGAAAAGCCTCAGTGAACACAGTAGTGACTGTTAAAATTTGCTAATAGCCACTCTGAACAGGCAGAGTACAGTTGGATATAAACCAAAATACGTTTTTTAAAAGAGCTTGAGGTATTCTGTAAGGCATATGTTTCTGCTTTCATCATCCAGAAGGCAGTGATGAGCTTATTTATTTGTTTGTTACATCCCACCTCTCTTTGAGTGAGATCAAGACAGCACATGTGGCTCTCTTCCTCCTCCTCTTTTTATCTTCACATCAATTGTCTCAGGTAGGTCAGGCTGAGAGACAGCAACTGGCCCAGGGCCATCCAATGAGTTCAGTAAAGCTGTGAACCCGTGTGAAGGAGATATAGAGGAAAAAGAGAAAGTTGAGAGTGAGCTGTCCCCTCCACCAAAGGCACCTGCGTGAGATGAAGTTGTAAGAGTGAGAGAGATATTGGAAAACAAGGGGATGAATGTGGAGGAAGAGACAAGGAGGGAACTGAAGGAAAAAGAGGAAAAGGTTGAGATTTGCTTGGTGGAGGAGAAAGAGGGAGAAGGAGAGGAGGAGTTAATTTTACTCGTATGGGAGGAAGAGATAAAAGATCAGAGTGGGAGGAGACAATTTAGAATATCGGGAACATCAGAGAGGCGAGAGGAAAAAGGGGAGAGAGGGAAAAAGAATTACAATATAATAGAATGAGAGGATTGTTAGAAGATTTTCTCAATCTGAAGAGAGGAGGGTTGTTACCTAATCCGGACATCTCCAAAGAAAAGGAGACACAAGCGGATTCCCTAGAATGGACGGTAGTGGTATATCCGTGAGGACAAGGTCACTGGAAGAAGGTGATCCAGCCAGACTGTTCTTTCAACAACCCACCACTGGAAGGCGATTGGGCCAGACACCCACATTGTGGGACCATCTGTGCGATTCAGAGTACACCTATGAGGAAGCCCACCGATCGTGAATGGTTTGGACCAGCCCCTCAATAAATCCTGTTAGTTCAAAGACAGAATTGTTGCCCCCTCAGTATGGACAGTTGCCCGATATTAGTTTTTTCGAACCAGTAGAAGTGATTGTTGGTTCTCCAAATGTTAATAAATCTGTTAGTGTTCAAAAAGAGCAGATTTTCCTGAGTTGGGAACCCCACATGCACACTGGTCCCATTAGTTCAGCTCTCCAGCTTGAAAATTAAACAACTGTCTATTCAAAACATAGAAGCAGGAAGTGGGGTTAAATCTGACCATAACTCTCCCACCTCAGTCTAATGTCCAATGGGTGCAACCTCCATGTCTCTTATGATTCTGTGGAGGGCTTGAAAAGGTTTGTCCAACAGTAGCCATGCTGGCAGGGTCATGTGGAAACTTTTGGAGGTGCTACTGTCCCAGAAACACTCAGTTCAAGCTCTGTTTCTGTGCTGTTCATCATCAGGCCAGCAACATTATATTTATCAGGGTTCCTCCTTGTATTTGATCAATATATTTTTAAAAATCAGATTTAAAAATTCCGTTACTTAGGCATTTTTTTTCCAAAGTATTAGAGATAGTGTCAATTTAATGCATGGCAGGCACCATCTTTATCATTTTATTTTAAGAGTTTTTCTTTCTTTGCAACTTCTGTTTTATACACATATTTTCAGGCCTGGATTCCTATGCTTGCTTACAAGAATCCTATCCAACTTAACGTGGCCTACTTCTGAGTAGATATGCCTACAGTTGAACTATTAATTGATTGCTTGATTGACATCCAAACAATTACTTAGCTAACTTTTCCTGACAGTTTCAATATTTATGTACATTAGCCTTTGGGAGCCAAATTTTTATCTTCCCTGGATTTAGATTCAGGGGAACGGAAGACAAAATTAGAATCTGACTATTCAAACAATTCTCCATCACTACATAAGACTGCAGAGTACATATTTTGACAACTGACCTAGCTTCACCTTGGTGTTTTGTCTCATATTAGGGGATCTGCAGACATATAAATCAGGGGAAAGATGCACAATGTCACCCTAACTGCAAATGAATTCACAAAGCATCTACATCCTCCAATTCAGTTTGCAATCTGGTCTTGCAGGAAAACGAGAACCCATTTTTTTAAAATGCCTGGTCCCCACCCCCATATGTGGGCTTAAGTATTAACTATGTGTGCAGGGTGATGACAGGGGCTATAAATGTTAAACAGATTTTGAAAAGAGCTTCATTTCCGAACTGAAGGATTGTGTGATAATTAAGCATCTCCTCTGAGGTGCTTTGAAAAGGAGAAGGAGATAAACAGAATGACAGAGATGTAGGGACAAAAGACCACATGGATTACTGAGATCCATTCTCTGTAGAACCTTCAGTGCTCAGCATTTCCATTAGTAAGCTAAGAGCCAATCCATACAGAATAGGTCAGCACTAGCTTCAAAATAAACGCGGGGAATTGCTTATTTGAAAACATTTCCATGCCAAAAATTCCCTGCACGTGAAAATCTCTTGCGTCAAGAAGGCCATGATATAAACCATCCTGACACAGAGGGGACTGCAGCTCATGAGGAGGGGACATGCTTTGCATACAAAAGATTTGGGTGATTAGCAAGAGATCAACAAAGATTTCTGACTGCCTATTTCTTCTGCTAGTTTTGCTGCAATGAAGAAAGTCTGAGGCAAGCAGGAATAGACTCTCTAACCGCCCCCCCATGTCCTGTGGAAGGACTGTGACCTCTACTCAGTTCTGTTTTCAAAATCAATTTATTTCCAACTTCTTTTATTCATACTTTCTTTTGCACCAAACTACAGCTGACAGCTATAGGGATATACAGGCCATGACTACAGAACAACTGTGCATCAAGATTTGTGCATCAAGCAGACTATTCACCACTATTTTCACGCAGCTAATGTTAGAAAATTATTTATTTCAAAAACCTCATAGATTTGGATTAAGAAATATTATGAAGTTGCTTCCAATTATGGAAGGCAGCTTTTCAGCTTCTTGCTTCTGAAACCCTTGCCTTTCAGAACATCAGAAGCCCCCGAGAATAGCATCCTATGATATCTGATAGACCGCCAGTGGAGGCAATGACAGTTACATACAGACCTTGAACTATGACTTTTTTGCACTGCAACTCCCACAATGCCCCAGTCAGCATGTCCATCTTGGACATTTTGGGAACTTAATCCTAAAAGTATTTTTTTTCGAAGTTAACTATGTGTGTTTGTCCATGCACACTAATTTCTTTCAATCTAGGCCTTAGCGGATGAAGTGGCCAGCACATGCTGAGGCTATGCATTAATTAATGCACAAAAGTCATGCATGCATGCATACATACATGTGTGTGTGAGGGAGAGGGAGAAAAAGAAAGGGGGGAGGGATATGCTTCTTATCATGCCCACAAGTATATAAAAGAATAGTATAATTTCAGTCATTATCAATAACAATCCATAGACATGTCAGCAAAAAGGATTCTTCCACAGGCAGTGTGCTGATGTGGTATCTATGAGAGCAACTGCAGAACGCTTTTTGACTTGCACCTGTACGGGGAGTGTTATACAGTTACAAAAACTTTATAGACTTTGGTGCATGAACCGTACGTGTGATTCCAGCCTGGGTCCTGGCACTGAAGACAAATTCCTGGGCTAAGCTTAGGTACACATGAGGCTCTGCCCATGGCATTATGTCAGAACCATCAGTCAGCCTGCTTGAGGGTTGGCTCACTTTGCACACATGAAACAGTCTGTTAAAGGCAAGAGATGGCCATAATGTTTAAATTAGAACACCTTACCATGTGGATTGCTGCTCTCAGAATGTGGGCTGCAGCACACATGAGGTATAGCAGCTCTAAATCTGTGAGAACAAAGGTATTCATGAATTTACCTACGATATACTGGCACAGCACGTAGTAGTTCATTATGTTTTGCTAGGCCTCAGAAGATACCACTACAATCTGCTTACATACTTTCATCGTTCCTCTATATGAAGATTTCAGTATTAAACCGAAGAGAGCTGGTGATAGCACACATGGCTATATCTAGGAAACAGACTAACTCCCACCAAACAGTGCTGCCTACATATTAATCACTCCTTAATAACATTTAGTACAGTGTGCCGCTTTTATTTACTAATAAGGGAGCAATGTAGGGCTTCTTAGATAGAAATTCAACAAATTGCAAACAGAATTATAGTATCATTTATGACAAATAAGGAACACCACCACCATAGCAACTGGAAATCATATTTTCCTCTGATCAAAGCATGCTCTCTAAGCACTCTGTAGTAATGTTTTTAATTAACACACTGCACCACTCACTTTTGATCCACAGTATTAACCATTTGGAAGACCACCTATTTGACCAAGAACCTCACTTAAATCCTAACCAAAATAGGTGGTTAAAAGGAACAGCTAATCCTTTCATTGCAACAGGGTTAGCCTATTGTAAATCCTAATTAACAATGACAGAAATGACAAAGAGGTGCTTCAAAGGCATCTTCTCCATCTCTTTGCATTCAGTATTGATCATCCATAGCTCAGATGCATCAGTCACAGATTAAAGATCACATTTAGCTGATAATACTGTTGTTATCTCCCTTACACCCACCTTATAAAGGGTTTTTCTTTAATGGTAGAATTACAGGCAGAAATTTATTTATTTATTTATTATTTGAGAAACGTAGGCCTTCCCCCACCATTCAAAAATAGCTTATAAAATATAACATCATTTAGTGTGTTTTTTTAAAAGTACACCTTAAGGCCATTTTTCTTTATCACCAAATGGAGTGGTTCCTAACTGGGAAGAAAGCTGCAACTTTTGAATTTCTGCTTGTTAACGGCACAGAAGTCTTGCAATAAGAAAAGTGACAACACAATCTGAGAAAATCTCACAAACTGGGAACTGAAGTAACTGAGATGTGGATTTACTGAAATCAAGGTGAATCCAATAATTAAACTCACATGCAACTATTGATGTATTCTACACACACTGTAGTCTGACATTCTGATTACAATGGATATTCCCCTCTAATTATTTCATATCATCATGAGATAATATAAACAATTCTATATAGTTATCATCAACTTAGGGGAAAAAACTGCCAACATTCCCTGAGAAATATACAGTATTAAGAATCTCCATGCTACTTAGGCTGGATTGTTCCCTTCTGACCAAAATGCTCCAAAGTAACACAGTACTTGACATCATTTTTTACTTTTTACAAAGGCGTTTCTTCATGCAAGAGAATTAAACTTTTCCTCTAAAATCCATTGAAGTGGTTAGAAAAACAAAGCCAGCAATTCTGCAGAATCTCTTATTCTAGAATCTCAAATAACACAACTACTACAACAGAGATTTCAAGGAGCTGAATTGTGGGCCAGGGATTTATGGCTCCTGCGATCCGCATGCATGATGGACATTCATAATGGTTAGTCTGCAAATGAACCCAAATATAACTCTTGTCACTTTCGCTATTAGGTCTCCGCCACCTGGTCTAGCGGCCCTGCTATCAAAAGGAGAGCTAAAGAGAGGGCAAGTGGCATTCATGACCAAAAAGTAACGGATGTATTTATAGCCAAACTGGAAACAGCTTGCCTTTGACTCTGAAATTTCAGGGTAAGTCAGCAGTCTTCGTTCTACCTTATTTGGTACAGCAAGCATATTTTAAAAAAAGATAAACTGTGTCAGGAAAAGCCATTAAGTTGAACGATATTGGTAACAGGATCCACATTTTCAGCAAAACACACTCTGCTTTTCACATCAGGACTGGATATTGTTTCTGTACTACCTACAGAGACACACTGGAAATAGACCTGCTTGTGCTGCAGTGGTTTTTTTATTGCACATAGACCGATGACATACAGTAGTAAACTGCACCCAGAATATATCAATACTTTATAAAATGCATAGACACTCACACATACATACACACACTTGTGTACGTGTGTATACACATACACAGAAAGGGAAATGGGGAATGACAATGAAGTGCTGAAGTCACAACAGGTTGACATACTCTCCTGGGTATATATACTGTATAAAAATAACTAATAAAAATTCTTAGAACAGACTCATTTATGTATGAATACACTTACAGTACCTCCGTCACATAATATATAATGCTTTTAAAATAAAAGAATATAAAATGGGAACACAGGAGCATTAACAGAAATCAGACTAGGGGCTCCGATGCTTTTAGAATCTCCTTTTCATTTTCCAGTGGATGTGTAGACGCATTGGATGTGAGGGAGGGAGGGAGGGAGAGAGAGAGAAAGAAACAGACCAACCACACAACATACTTCGTTAACACTGTGCAAAAGGAAAAACAAAACTAAACAAAAACCACAACCTCTCTCACTCTTTTTAAATGTGCAGTAATATCCCTGGTGCTCCCTAAATCAATCTCCCCTCTCAGCTTTCAATGTGAACAGACTGTCTACAGAGGATGGGTGCTTTTGCCTCTATTCAAAACAAAACAAAACCCTAACTAACAATACATAAATAAGCTGTTTAATATAAACACATTTTCCCTGTACAATATGCACAGCTTGAGGTAGACATTTTGTAGCCTGACTGCTGTTATCTTATAGGACAAGAAAAAAAAGAGAGGCTCCTCTCCAGTCACAGAAGAGACCTGATCAAAACACTTTCTTGTCAATGTATTATATTATTATCATTTCCCCTTTCCTCTTACATGCTAAGTAGAATGTGGCCATTGTGTGATTTAAGGCTACAAGCTAATGCGCGCTTACTTGCAAGTAAGTTCCATCCAACTCACTCCTGACTAAATAGGATCAGGCGGCATCGTTAAACTTATCAGAACATTTTTCCGATGGCTTTTTCTAATCAAGAGACTTTTGGCATGGGTGTGTGAAGGTGCTGAGTGCCAGAAATCTGGACTGATTTCAGTGGATTTATATGGGTGATCAGCACTTATTTTCGAAACAATAATAATACGTTTAAAAAACAACCAGGACTATTTTGTGTGCTACTGATGCTCCTGGCATTAGTTTTAGGAAACAAAAAACAAAAGAACCTTGTCTCTAAGCTCTGAAATCAAACCATCAAGGATTTGGGTGGCTTCTTTCTGTATCTGCCGAGGAACACCCACCCTTGTTACTTTTCTTTCAATTTCAGCTTTCAAGTGCCTGCTACAAGCACAGCTCTTCTTAAAACATTTCTTTTTAGGAACTCCTTCAAATTTATTCCTCCTTTTCCTGCCACACCATCATCTATCTCCCTCTCTCCCCAAATACTTAGAACCCAAACGGTGGGAAGGGGGGGGGTTGGAGTGTTAATCTCCTTTGTTCAATGGTCAGTTGCTCTCTGTTTGCTTCAGTTTTGGATGAGTCAGAAGAGGCTAGCTGCTGCTGCTGCGCACAAGTTCACCTGCTTTTCAACTTGAGTAAATACAATCATCTCCTCAGGAAGGCAAGTCCGTCTGGTGTTTTGTACCTTAGCCAGCTTCCCAGTGAGTTTATTTCTCTCACCTTCCACTAACCCTGGTCTATTTTGCTGGCTCCTTTTTTTTCCATCTATAAGATTCTATATGACCTTCCTATTGCCTTAATCCTCTCCACCAACTGATCTTATACCTTAGATTCTGAATAGGAGGTTTTACTGTTCCTTTCTTCTAAACTGGAGTCACTTCCATCCTGTGGACCACCATTGTACTCAGACCATGTCCCTCCTAGGGTGCACGGACCAGTACTTCCTAGAGTACTGATGAAACCCCCAGGATACCGAGAGAGCTCCCCAGTACTGGCATGCAGCCTCCGGTCCGCTTTCCTGGGGCAGCACAGCATCCTCTTGAAGGCCTTACGGAAATCAGGGCTCCTGCAGTAGATGATAGGATTGAAGGCAGAGTTGGCATAGCCCAACCAGTTGAAGAAGACAAAGAGTTGGTCTGGCACCAGCCCTCTGTTAAAGACTTTGACCACATTGACCAGGAAAAATGGTAACCAACAGAGAGTGAAGACCCCCATGATGATGCCCAACGTCTTGAGGGCCTTCTGTTCCCTTATTGCAAGAATACGAGAAGTTTTCCTCCTAGTAGCTTGGCCGTTGCCCAAAATAGGCAGATGCTGGTGGACTGGCTGAGGTGGCTGCTGGTGACTGTTGTAGAACCTGCCTTCACACTTGTCAATTTTCTTCATTTGTTCCTTGGCTTCTCTATAGACCCTGATATAGACAAAAATCATAACAAATAGGGGGATGTAGAAGGAGATGATGGAGGAAGCAATGGCATAGGCTCTATTGGTGACAAAGTCACAGCAGCTGGGGTTATCATAACACTGCTCAGCCTCAGGGTCTTGGTCCCTCCACCAATGCATCATAATGGGCAAGAACGACACCAATGCCGAAATGGCCCAGACAATGCAGACAATGATCTTGGCCCGTTTCTTAGTCATGAGGCTCTGGTAGCGGAAGGGTGAGGTGATGGCCAGGTAACGGTCAATTGCGATGACGCAGAGGGTCTCAATGCTGGCTGTCACGCAAAGAACATCCACTGAGGTCCAGCACTCACACAAGAACGAGCCCCACAACCACGAGTCCCGCACCACCAGCGTGGCGCCAAAGGGCACCACCACAGATCCCATGACCAAGTCAGCGCAAGCAAGGGAAGTGATGAAGACGTTGGTGAGAGTCTGCAGCCGCTGGGTCCGACTGATGGCCGCGATGACCAGCCCGTTGCCCACCACAATGAACGTCACCATCAGCGACATCAGCATGCTCATGCCCACCATCCACTGCTGGGAAATCTCCTCGGGGTTGAGGGGCCTGGAACCAGGAGGGTAAGAACCGAGGGAAGCGTTGCTGCTGCTGCTGCTGGAGCCAGGCTGAGAGGTGGAGTTGGATCCGTTGTGAGGGCTGTCATCCAGGGAGAACAACCCATCTCCCATGGCTGTTCAGAGGCGAGAAGGGTCAAGTTAGGGCATCCAGGCTGGAGGCATGAAGGCGAAGCGGGTCTGCCTCCTTGGGAGCGCCGCCGACTCTCCGCAGCTGCTGCAAACGCCGCCACTTGCTCCGGGGCTTCAGCATGTTTGCGAGCGTCCTCCGACGGGCTCCTGCGCCCAGGACGCCTCCCCGCCGCCCGGACGTCAAGCGCCCGGCAGCCAATGGGAAGCCGAGGAAGGGCCCGCCATTCCCCCGACCGTCTGAAGGGGGCTCTGGGTCCGGGGACAGGAAGGCGCGCCGAGCCCGCTGGGGTTCCCGCGGCCCGGGCAGGTTGCTGCAACCAAAGCCCTGCCGGACCTCGCGGGCTTGGAGAGCGACTTGCGCGGCTTGGCTTCAAAACGTCTTAGTAGCGTTATTGCGCCGCGGCTTGTGTCAAGCCTCTTCCCGGGCTTGCCTTCCCCGCAGCCGGTGGGCACCAGAGGCGAGTCAGCCACGAAGCGCGAAGAAAACACTTCTCCCTCTTCTCTCTCTCTCTCCCCCCACCCCCGCCTTCCACCTCTTTTGGAGAGGCGCTTATCTTGCTGCGCCCGGCGGTCTCTGGCGGCGGACCGAAGGTCACCGTGCCGCTGCTGGGGGTGGGGGCTTCTCCGGCAAAATGCCCTTGCGGCGCCCTTCCTTAGTCTCTCTCTCTCTCTCTCCACGCCCCCGCTTCGGCCGGGTCCCCTCGGGGGCCTCAGCCCGGACTGGAGGCACACCGGCTGCGCCTTCTTCACCCTCTCGGCGGCGGCTCCTCTCGCCTCCCGAGCTGGAGACACGGCGAAGA